ATTTTTTTTTTTATTTTTACACACACATATTTTGATTTATTTTCCTTCTACAATCATTATATGAAAATTAATGACTCAACTTCAAAGTCACCCTGTATATATAAAAAATACGTGTCTCATGTTATCGGAGATAAAGAGCTTAATTTTTCTTTTAAAGCTAGACACACAGGTAGAGACTACAAAGTTTGATGTACTTTGTGCAAATCTGGTGCCGAAATAAAAAACACTTTTTAAATTGTGATGTCCGGTACCGAGGACAGTCAAGGGTATATCCTACAGAATGCAGATTTGCTGAGTAATAATCATAATATCTCATTGTAAGCTATTTTTTAAATATATTGGCAGTTTATTCATCAAAACGCTCTGAATCAATGATGATACGAGTAGATGCAGTGTCCATCTTTGTCACATAGTAAGCCAGTGAATATTTTTAATATGACCAGATATCATATAATAATATAAATAAACGCGATTTATTTCGTACAAAAGTACAAAAAGGCGACGAGTAGCGTAGATCAAGTTTGAAGCAAATAAATATGTAATATAATAAAATACTAATAAGAACGTATGCATACTCCTCAATAATAACTTATTGATTAACAACACAAAAAATAGATCAATTACAAGAATAGTCGTTACTTTCAGCATTTTGTGTTCATCATCGACATCTCCTCTCGCCTTTGAATACCTAAAATGAATCTGATGCAGTTGTTTTGCACCTGTTGGAGCCTATACGCCTCGCTCTCCGTTAGACATGGACCATAGACGAGCTATAAATTAATTTCAACTCAGCATAGGAACCATGCACAGCTTTGGTAACATGATCGTGGAGAATGAAGCTCTCATCTAATGTGATTACCAAGTTGCGAACCGATGTCTTGTAGGTTCATCACTATCAGTACACAGTTTTATTGCTAAATGAAGATTTGACAGCTATGATAGCAGACATTCTAGAGTTAATACAAAGGTCATGTTTTTGTTAGACCAAGGATACTATTTAAATCCTCAAACAGCATCTCATTCGCTTGGGTGTACATATTACAGTTATAAGATAAATAAATCGACGTAGGTATGTAATTTGTAGTATTTTTTAACTTGATCTAATTCTCATCCATATAGAGAAAACAAAACAGGTCCAAGATTAGACTCTTGAAGTACATCTTTGTATATAGTGCCCTCTTTTGATTAGATGACGCCGATTTTTACACTCTGAATGCCATCATGAAAATAACGGCGAAACCATTTGATCGAGCTATCGGAGAAACGAACATAATGAAGTTTTGCAAAAAGTAATTTGTGCTTCAGGCAACTTGAGATCATGGCAGCAGTAGTAAGGTTAAAATTATCTATTGCCCTCACGAAGTCGTCGCAAACAGCAAGCAGAGTTGTTACAGTACTGTGGCTTTTTTTAATCAAGCCGTGATGCTCAAGATATTGTAGAACCTCCCTATTTCTCCGTTGCAGAGGTCCCGTCATCGGGAAACAGTAAACCATTAAGGCTATATGGACTGACACAGAATAATAATAATTAATCGGCTTTATTTAGGGCGAACTAGTCAAATAAATGGCAAAACGAATCACCGAACCATTAGCCATATAAATGTTTCTATTTATAACTACCGCTTCCTTGTTGAAGCAACATAGTAGCTAAGCGGAACAGCTTTAAAAATGAACCTATCCAGAATGTTACTCTAGCCCGTTTTAATTCCACCTGACATTTTGTAATTTAAATCAATAGAAGTGATGCTCACTGTGAAATAACCGAGCTGGAAATTTTTTGGTGCGGTGTTTTATTTGAGGAAATTAAAACACGAGGAAAATGAAATTTCCGTTTTGAGGTATGTTTACACTGGCTGTCAGTCAGTTGGCATTTTAATCTTTCCTACTTAGTTATTCTACGGTCGGGTATTCTATCTCTCTCTTATGTGGCATGAATAGTTTTTAGAATCATAAAACTTCAAACTGCGGTTTTGATGCTAAAAATGGAATTTTTCGTTTCCGCTCGCTGCTTTACATGACAGTGGCGTATGAAGGGTGAGGGCGCCCCCTCCCCAATGATAGAAGGTACTGATCACGTTTTGAGTGTATTTGATAATTTTTATGTGAACTATCAGTTCGTCGAGACTAACGAATTCAGACCAGAGGGAGCAAGCCTATCATTTTTTTGTCTCCAAAATATCAGTCTGCAGTCAGCATGAAAGTGCATTCTTCGAGTGGACTTGATATAAGTTTTTGAAGTTCTGTCACTAAATTCGTATTTTCGGTTTTTTGAAAGTGCGAGAGTTTGCAGATGGTTCTGACGTCAGGTTCTTTTCGGGCGTGTTTCCTATTGCGTAATTTGCAAAGAGCGGCAGAAGCCTAATGAAGGTAAATCTCTCCACCGGTAAGTCTTATTATTATGTTGATACAAAGTTTTAGGCAATGATAGTCAAATGCGGCTTGTCTCCTTTTAATCTTGGTCGTGACGAACGTAGCTACAGGTTCCGAAAAGGTATACTTTATCTGAAGTCACTTGAAACACTGTGAAATACCGGGTGCGTTTTATATATCTATATTTAACACGCTCTGTTGCTGCAAAAATCGCCAAATTTCGCAGCAAATATCCCCCGTATAAGATCAAAGGCAGTTTCACCGGTCCACGTGGAGTAAAGCACGCATATGCGTGGACATAGCCAATGAGAAAGCGTGTATTTCAGAGCTCCGAACAAGTGCAGGTGGCTACTGAAAATTGAAACAGTTTTTTCATAGATTTTATTAGTTTGTGTGTTTTTGACTTTTGAATACTCTGTTTACTTGTTGATTTAATTGTTGTGTTGATTGTTCTTGTGTGTCCTAAATATGGCTCTTTGGAGACCTTGGGAAAATGCTCCAAGCCACGAGGAGATGGTTGATGAACCTGTGCAGGCAGAATTCTTTCATAAAGATTTAGAGGAACAGACCCAAAGAGTAATCCTAAATATGTATGATTGTCTGAAAAACGAAAATCCAGATTCCTCGCAAAATCAAATTTTAAACAGAATTTGTATCCTGACAAAAATCAGTCGGTCTACTATTTATCGGGTTATAAAAAGGGGAGATGTAGTCAACCATTCCTTCCACAGAAAGCGCATACGGCAAAAATTAAAAAGAATAGACGTGGGTTTTCAGGAAGATATTCGTCGTATAATATACGGATTTTATAAAGAAAATTTGGTGCCCACGTTGGAAATGATACGGGATAAATTAAAAGATTATCCTGAAGATTTTTATAATTACAAATACTTAGACTCACTGCACTGTATTGTAAAACTGTGTGGTTTTCAATACAAAAAATTAGATAAAAGAATGGTGATTATGGAGTCGTCTCGAATCGTTGAATTGCGCCAAGAATTTTTGCACAAAGTTAAAATCTATAAAGAGCAGAAAAGAAATATGATTTACCTGAATGAAACGTGGTATCATACCCATGATGTTGTGCAGTACGGCTGGGTTAACGACAGCAACAAGTGCATTTTAAATGCACCATGCAACCGTGGAAAACGAATCATTATTCTCCATGCTGGCAGTGAAAATGGATTTATACCTAATGCCTTGCTGTTATCTGCCAAAAATATCAAAGAATCATGTGCCGACTATCTTGAGGACATGACCTCCGACTTATTTGAAAAGTGGATAGAGCAGCAGTTAATACCAAACATTTCCCCAAATTCAGTGATTATTATGGACAATGCGCCATACCATTCCCGACAGAAAAACAAAATTCCGAATACAGGCACAAAAAAACAAATACCACAAAAATCAACCAAACTCATATTATTGGATCTTATTAAAAGACAAAAAATTGAAAAAGAGTATGTTGTTGACAATCTGCTTTAGCAAAATGGCCATGAAGTATTACGTCTACCTCCCTATTACTGCATTTTTAACCCGATTGAGTTGGTCTGGGCTGCTTTAAAAAAAAAGTAAGAAAACATAATCAGACCCCTGAATTAAGTGAATCGCTATTGGCCACAATAAGAGATGCAGTATCTCATATTGCTGCCACAGACCTATGGAAGCAGTGTTCTAGGCATATTATTGAAAAACAAAATGAATATTGTGTTTTGCCTCCTGTAAATACAGTTGTAATTCCTCTACAAGATGACTCTAGCGACAGCTCCGAAGGCGAGGATGATATATAAATACCTATAATGTAAGTCTTTATTTATCTTTTTATATACCTACCTGCTATGTAAATATTTGCCTATGTCAAACGTTGGAATTCTGTAATTTTTCCATTTATTAACTTTCAGTCAACATAAATTAAACTCCCAATATAAGTATCTTTTATCCCAAATCAAAAAAATAAGAAGATAGTAAAATCCATTTATTGTGATATAAAAACATTTTATTATCGTTCTAAATAAATGACCGCACGCCTATGATACGTCATGAAATTACAAAGGACGCGCCGACCAAAGGTTTTTATGCTATTTCAAGTGACTTCAGATAAAGTATACAATCCAAAAATATTGTCATTGCAAAATTCGCAAAGCAGTGAGTTACTGGTATGATTCAAGTTTGTGTATTATGGACATTTGGAACTGAAGGGTACCGACATTCGGTTTTGATATATTAACTGTGACAAGGTACCTGTTAGGATTCCAGCTGTGGGCCCAGACATACTGCAATTTTTTCTAGAATTGCGATTGTACAGGGTGTTTGAAATGCGACTCTCACCGCTATTAGCTCAGAAACTGTAGGAGGATCGGCGTCGCTTCAATGGGAGCAAAGTTGATTATTTAGGTAATCAACAAGCCGCTCAGAAAGATTCGAAGTTCGAAAAAAAAACAAATTTTCCCAAAATTGTTTTAATTGTTTTCCTGATTTCATTTATATTTGGATTTCAAATTAAACTGCATACTAACATTACCACATTTTGAAACTAAATGCAACTTCTTGCTTCTTATTTACAAGATAAGTTGAAGGCTCAATACATACTGTTTAAATCCTCTACAGGAAGGCGTAATTATATTTTCAACATGACGGGTGAGTCGTAGCGACGATCCCAGGGTGGGTGCACCAAAGGAAAACGTCGATGCTGTGGGCAAAGTCACCATTGAAGATAGACATGTGACATATCGCGAGATTGAGGCGCTCTTGAAGATCTCAATGACCTTAATTCAAAAAATTTTACATGAAGAATTAGGAGTAAGAAAATTAGTTTCTCGTTGGATACCCCACCTGTTGACTGAAGAGCAGAAAGCAATTCCGCAAACTCAATAAAAATGTGTACATCATTGTTAGTGGTGATGAATCGTAAATTCACTGTTGTGAACCAGAAAATAAACGACAGTCGGCTGTTTGGGTATTCCAAGGTGAAGAAAAGCCAACAAAAGTCATCCGTTCTCGAAGTGTTTCGAAACAGATGGTCGCGACATTTGTGTCAAAAGCGGGTCATATTGCAACAATTCCTCTTAATGAGCAAAGAACTGTTACTGCGGATGGGTATACCACCATTTGTTTGCCAAAAGTCATCACCCAGCTTCGAAAAATCAACCCTGAAAGAAGAATCATCCTCCACCAAGACAATGCAAGCTCGCACGTAGCACAAAAAACAAGGCAGTATTTAACGGCAGAAAACGTGGAATTATTGGACCATCCTCCATACAGTCCCAATCTAAGTCCTAACGATTTCTTTACTTTCCCGAAAATTAAAAACAGACTGTGTGGTCAAAGGTTCCAGTCACCAAAAGAAGCAGTTGACGCATTGAAAAATGCCGTTTTGGATCTGCCAGCAAACGAGTGGAATAAGTGCTTCGAAAATTGGTTCGAGCGCATGTATATTAATCTTCGTGGAGAATACTTCGAAAAGCAATAAAGTCATTTAAAACTACCTACCGTGTTGCTTTATTTCCATATGCAAAACTTAAAAGACATCCCTCGTACCAGATGGATGGACGCTATATTGGGATTTTGTACATTTGAATGGACTTTTCAGTCCTAAGTTCAGTGATGTATTTACCTAGTTGGCCATGAATTTTTTGTTGGATGAAAATTATAAGGAAATGAAAGGGTATGGTGGAACCTGAACACAAAATGAAAATTTTAATGATGGTAATAATAATAGTATTCATAAATAAGCAGAGATTAATCATAGCAGATGTTCAAAATATAATTTTGTAGGCTAATCCTGACTCTTTTCTGTACATTGTTGACTGCTCGAGTCTTCCAAACTCTGTTGCTATGTTTGGGGTCTGGTATGAAAACAAATGAAATCTGTTAATTTCAAGGCCTGCCTACGAACTTCTCTTTTTCTGGGGTTTGATAATGTCACTGTATCGCATATGACACATTTTAATTTAATAATACTACTACTTTAATAATTTAATACTCTATTCATCAGTGCAAAAGTCCAATATGGCGTCCGTGAGAAAAAATAAAGCTCATGCTTGAGGACAAGAGACGAAGCGTCATGTTGAAATTCTATATGTCTCATCTTGTATATGAGAAAAAATTGCGATCTTAATGTGCAATGCATTTTGAAATATCACTACAAATAAAGTCAGGAAAAAATTATAACGATTTTGGTAAATTTCGGTTTCTTCCGTCTTTTTCCGGAAATGAGAGTACTGTGAATTTCGTAACTTTCTAAACAGCATTTTGCGATGAGAGCACCCTGTATATTGATCTGTGTGACAAGTTTTGTATGTGGGGGATAGTAGCCTCAAACCTGGTCCAAAGCTTCATTAGCCATTTCGTAACGCATGCACGAGATTAGGTAGGTCTGGCAATTTTTCTAGTAAGATACCTACGAGTTTATTTTTTCATAATTTGCCTCTAAAAGTTTTCATGCTGCTTCAGAGATACTGAAAATACACAAAAGACCTTTATTTCCGCTGCAAGAATAAAAATACACGTACTTTCTATTCTATTTTCAAGCTATTCAATGGGTAAACACCATTTTTGCCCTACTTTTTACAACTCACCAATTTGAAAATTACTAAAATGGCGTCAAGTACCTTATACGCGACTCCGTCATCAGTTCATGAAGGATTAAGTTAAGCGCTATTTAATCTGAGAAAAAAGTCAGTTGCGAACATGTGAAACAGAGTCAATAAATAATTAAGTCAGTCAAACAGGCCCATACAGTTGCTCCATAAATATTCTTTCCCTGTCCTATCGGTAGTTACTGCCCATCTGGCAACAATGTCCCTTTCCACATCGTCGCGGCGTCGCTGCAGTGAGTTATCATTGCATGATCCGTTTATATGTTTTTTGTACTGGAGTACGGATAGATTAGTCAGCCTGTCCGGTCCGCCGTGCGGTGAGCTTAGATAGCAAGAGTACGTGGATCGCTGTATCATTCTAAGCTTTAAAGGCAAATAAATGTACCTGTAAATCCTATGGCTAATATGTGCATAGAATTACCGAGGCTGCGAGCATATGAATATAATGAGATCAAAAAGTCTTTACACACCCTCCCCAACCCTCTGGAATCGGCAATCTCCACAACTTCAAACCCTACAAAAAAAAATCAGAAAATGATCAAAACCATCTGGAACGTCAAAAAAAATGATTTTGGGCGACTCTTACTTTTTTCATTTTTGGCTTTTTTCTCTGCATGTTTCAACAAGTCATGGTGAACGAAGCAGTGATATAAATAAAACTAATTCAGTTGGATTAATATCTCTATTTCGTCATTTTTCATAAGCTCACTTACTTTCGGTAGGTTACCAATTCTATTTTCCTCCGTATTGGAATAAAATAGTAGCTTTCGGTAGGCCATTGTACAGATTAACAATATAACAGCACACGTGTTTAGTAAATCCTGCCTGTTTCATTTGTTTTTCGCGGTTCCAGTTCCGGTTCCGATATGGAGTTACTTCCGCTTTTCCGTGCAGTGCGTGTGCATGTCAACCGATGAAATTGCTGTGAACTTTTAATGGCATTTTTTAATTTCGGCGCCCTTTTTGTTCGGCGACACTCGCTCTAATTTTTGGCTTTATGCTCGAAATGGAGCGCCATTTTTTCCGATGGAAACGTCAAGTGGTTCACGCTTTCCATAATGTAAACGTTGTCAACCGAAAATACGTATGACAGCTGCATATAAGGCGGTTTTTCATGTCATGCAAACATGGGTTGGTATTGTAGATGTACGGATAAGTAAAGTGCCGTTTATTTACGAGCAGTTAGGCCTATATAACTAGATAAAAAAATATGCTGCTTCGAAGAAGCATACATACATATATAGTCATTTAAGCTAGCGACCATGACCTTGAGACTGACGATTTGTTTATCTAGGACTCCATAATTTTGACTCCGAAAATGGATAGAGCGGAAAATTTTATGTCGAAATATGACATTGGGTGGAAGACATTTTGACCTTGAACTTCCTGGTAGAGGTCATGGTAAAAACGTTAGTTTTAAATGATTCCAGTGGTCTCTCTAAAGATAGAACGATAATAATCTCAAAGTCAGGGGCGACTTAATTTTTTTCATGGCTGACTGGTGACCTTGAATCTGACTTTGACCATGACCCTGACAGTCAGTCAAACTGATAACAGTCTTCACTAGAAGTCATATCTAAGCGTAAAATGTTCCGCTCTATTTCTGCGCTCTAGGGTATCAGACAAAATAGTATCTTGACCTTGATTTCACCTTCTAGATCATGATTATTGTCAATTTCAAAGTCAGCAGTGAATAGCCAGGAAAAAATTCAAGTCACTGCTGCCTTTAGGTAATCATCTATGCATTATTCCCAGAAATATTTCCAAAGTCTTATTAAGTGGATTTTTCACGAATACCTAGGTAATAAAAATCAAAATATAATCCACCCAAGGCCATTACTTGAGGAGTCAGAAGTACAAAGTACTGTTAAAGAAAATTTTCGCGACATTGATTTGACCGTCGACACCATGGTAAAGGTCCAAGGTGATTATTGAAGAGTCAGAGAAAAGTTGTAGCTCCTGCCTCCTTTGGGCTCTATTACCCCGAACATATTTTCCAACGAGACTTTTTACGATGAATTTGACTAGGACGTTCTAGGTCAATTGCTGCATATAACTCAGCTTTTTATATCTTTCAAACATGTTGGTATTGGAGATGTATGGATAAGTTATATGATTATTCATATAAAAAAAGATGCTAATTTGAAGAAGTTTATATGCATAGTTAAAACCCCGAACGCAGTAATCTGCAGACCAGACCGTAGTATACAATGTGATCCGAAAGTCCCGAATCGGCAAGATATTTAAGAACATCAAAAGGGTACGGTAAAAATTTAATTGTGTGGCTTTCGAGCCTCGAGTGTGACCTTGAAAGTCAAATCAAGATGAAGACGATTCGGGTGTAAGTTGTTTTGACCTTGGATCTTTGCAAAGATAAAGCGATAATAACCCTCAAAGTCAGCAGCGGCTTCAATAGCCGGCTGTTCACTGGTAACCTTGAATCTGACTTTGATCATGACCTTGGATGTTAATTCTGGTAGAAATATGTTACTTTTGATCGTAAATTTCTCCTTAATTTCGCTGGTTTAGAGTCAAGACTGTATTGATCTCCTAGGTCATGGTTATTGTCAGTTTCACAGTCAGCAGTGAATAGCCAGGAAAAAATGCATGCTGCTGCTGTCTTCAGCGAACTATTTCTGCTTTATCTCCAGAAACATTCATAAAATGTTATCAGACGGGTTTTTTTACGATGACATTGGTATTAATATAATCAAAATAATGTTAACTTAACGTTATATTTTTCGCCATATCCAAGGGTCAGGAATATAAGTCTCGACATTGATTTGGCCGTCAAGATCATCGTAAACATAAGATTCAAGGTCATCAGTGAAGAGCCAGAGAAATTTTGTAACTCCATCCACATTTGGATCCTTATTCCGGCTCTATTTTCAGAAACTTCCCGGACATATTTTCAAATGACGTTTTTCCTAATTAACTTGACTAGGAAGATCAATGTCACACAAAATCTCATCCAAGGCCATGCGTGTACGAACATTCTTCGCTCTATCCGTTTCTGAGGTCAAAATAATAGGCTTTCACACAAAATCGTCTTGAACCTGATTTGACCTTCAATGGTATGGTCAAGTGCACTACTGAATAGCCGGAAAAATCCAGAGCCATACCTCTTGCATACTCCCAAATATCTTCCGTGCAAGGATGAGCTCGTATGCAAAAGGTATCCCCAAATTGTATAATTGAAGAAAATATTCTTTTTTGTCATTACTGTCAACAGTTGTTAGACCGTTCTTCCAGTATCGCTGCTTTTCAAAGTTGACCTTAAGCGTATATCTTGTCCTACGGAGACATTCATAGACTGGAACACTTTGCATTTCTAGCAACGTCCACCTCGTACCTTCATAAATTATACAATTGCATCTGACTTATTCCTGAACAGTACTGTGTCAACTTATTCACTTAAATCGTAATGAGCAGACCCGGATGAATCGAATTTCATCAAATTCTCTTCTTGTGCGTTTAAATTCAGATTCGTTGAAGCGGTGCCTGTAAACATTGACAAATTAAGCAGATTCCTGCGATTCTGTTTTTGTCTTTCGAGAAACCGGAAAGAGCTTCCGTAATTACGGAAGGATTTACGATGAAAAATCGGAAATGGGAGTCGGGAGAAATCCAAATACGATTAGAAAGGTGCGTGAACTTTGTCAGTTCCGTTTGGGAACTTCTGCAATTACTATCTCTAGAAAGGATTTTACAACTCCGGGTGGAACCTGGGTACGGATTTATCCAAAAGTCAAGTTCTCATGTTTCGGAGTAATGGTATATGAACTTCTAACGCCGTGAGACGGCTGACAGCATAATTTACACTGGCGTCTCTAGAAAAAAATCTGAGCGGGGAATAGATCCAATACGACGA